GCTATTGAAGCCAGTTGGAGCTAAGATGATTCTACCAAGCTCCAGAAGCTGGATAGCAGGTTTTGGTGTTTTCCCTGCTAGGTTTCTGTCTTGCTTTGGTCTGATCTTTCCTTGCTAAGTAAGTCACCATTGCTCCTTTTCAGAATGGGAATATTTACTCTATGCTATTCTATATTGAAAGTATGCAACTTAATTCACAATGTTATATGGGCTCAGAGTTAAGAGACTGCCTGAGTCTTTGAAGAAACACGCATTTACATAAAATAAATACACTGACACTTTTGAATGATGAGACTGATAGTTAAATACTAAGTGGACTCTTTCTTTTTTTTGGTTGGAGTGGGGGAGTGTGCTTTTTTGAGACAGGATCTCCCTGTAGGCCCAGCTGGCCTCGATCTCACAGGGATCTGCCTGGCTCTGTGTGTATCACCAAATCCAGCCTTCTATATGGAATTCTGAAGTTGAATTGAATGCAGTTTGCATTAAGAGATTTCCATGAGACTATGGAGATAAGGGAGGGAACAAATTTATGGCTTAAAAGTGATGTATCTAGGTATCAACCTGAGCTGTGATTGTTAATACTGGATTGTCACCTAGAAGACAAACCTCTGGGCGTGTGTTTAAGGAATTATCTAGATTAGGTAGCTGGGACCACTCCATGGACTGAAGTCGCAGACTGAATAAAAAGGAGAAAGCAAGCTGAGCACTGGCACTCACCTGGCTGCTTCCTCACTGCAGGAGCAATGTGACCAGCTGCTTCATAGCTCCTGCTGTTGCCTTCCCTGCCATGATGGACTAACTTCAAACTGTGGGCCAAAATAAACCCTTCCTTCCTTAAGTTGCTTCTGTCAGGTATTTTGTCATGGCAATAAGAACAGTAATTAATACAAATGTCTTCTATTGAGTCATTTTTTATCTTTTCCTAAAAAGTTAACCCAACTTCATCCTCCCTAGCAGGGTCTTATAATTTAGCCCAGGCTGACCTCCAGCTTCAGAAACTTGGGCCTCAGACTCTTGAATGCTGGGATTACCAAAGTGTACTACTAATCCCTGTTTTTTCTATTTTCACAGAAGCCCTTTCATTTTTAGTGAATGACATTACTAAACAAAAGGTTTTAAAAACTCATAGTGAAATGCTATGATTTCTAGCCCAAACAAGATTCTCTAATGAGGGGCTGGAGAGATGGCTCAGCGATTAAGAACACTGGTTGTTCTTGCAGAAGACCCAGGTTTGAATCCCAGAATCCACATGGCAGCTAACAACTGTCCGTAACTTGAGTCCCAGGGGCTCTGACAGCCTCTTCTGACCTCTTCTGGCATTGTGCTACACGGGTGCACTTATCTACATGCAGGCAACACACATATTTCCATAAAATAAAAATAATAAATATTAAAAAGGATTCTCTAATGAACCCTAGGACTAAATATCTAACTGCCTACTCAGAATCACCACTTCAATCTTCTGCAGGTACTTCAAACTACATATAGTAAGAAAGCTAGAGCAGACTGGGGATACAGCTCAGTGGTAGAGCACTTACAAGGCTCTGGATCCAAATCTCAGCACAGAAAAGCAAATTAAAAATTGTATGTATTAGAAAGCCAATGTGTTTACTTCTAAATTTGTTCCTCCTCCAGGAAATTTGTTCCACCAATCTTCCAAACCTTCATACAAACCTTGCTACCACCCTTGTCAAATCATCAGTTTTATCTGGATGGCTGCAATTTTCTAGTAACAGGTTTCCTTGTAATTACTCTTATCCCCTCGAATTCAGGATTTACATGGGAGCCAATTTGATCTCGTGAAAATGTAAATATAAACTCAAGACTGTCTTTTGCTTTTGGTATGAAATCCAAAATTCTTTTTCATGGGAAAAGTTGCTGGGTAATCAAATCCAGAGCCTTTCATATACTAGGCAAGCACTTTATTACTGAGCTATGTATCTCCAGCCCCACAAACTTTTAATCAATCAAAAAAATATTTATTTTAGCTGGACGTGGTGGCACACACCTTTAATCCCAGCACTCAGGAGGCAGAGGCAGGCAGATCTCTGTGAGTTCAAGGCCAGCCTGGTCTACATATCGAGTTCCAGGACAGCTGGGGCCTATAGGGAGACCCTGTCTCAAAAAAAAAAAGACCAAAAAAAAAATATTATTTTATGTGTGTAAGTGTACTGCTTCCTTCTCTTCCTTCCTTCTTCCTTTCCTTCCCCTTCCCTCTTCTATCCTCCCCTCCCTCTTCCCTCCCTCCCCCCCTCCTTCCTTGTTGTGGTCCTCTGCCTTTGGGATCAAAGGTATGCTGCACCATGCGTCAGTGTTCTTTTGTATTCTTTTTTTTGATCTCTTTGTGACAGGGTCTCCCTGTAGCCCCAGATGGCCTGGAACTCACAGAGATCCCCCTGCCTCTGCTGGGATTAAAGGCGTGCACTACCACACCTGGCCTTTCCTTCTACTAAGAGAAGTTTTTTGTTTTAGTTTATCCAAGTTCCTCTCCAGTTCAGGATGTTCAAACATGCTTTACATGCTGGCTTTCTCCTCCCAACTTTTCTTTTTTTAATGTGTATGAGTGTTTTGCCTGTAAGTGCACCATGTATGTGCAATGCTCCTCAGAGGCCGAAAGAGGGTACTGGATCCCCTGGAACTGGAGTAATCAATGCCTTTTTAAAATATTTTATATTTTTTTTATTATTTTCATGTGTATGAGTGCATTGCCTGCATTATGTGAGCACACCCACGTCGTGCAATGCTTCGGAGGTCAGAAGAGGGCGTCGGATTCCCCTGGAACTGGAGTTAAGGATGGTTCGTAGCCACCATGTGGGTGCTGGGAATCAGACCCAGGTCCTCTGCAAGAGCAGTCAGTGCTCTTAACCACTGAGCCATCTCTCCAGCCCCTTGATGGCTTTTTAGATGCCATGTGGGTACTGGTATTTTAACTGCTGAGCCGTCTCTCCAGCCCCTTATCCCAACTTTTACCCTTAGGCTACGTTATTAGCTTCCTTTCTCCAGTCTTTTATTCTCTTCCTATTTATTTCAGGATACTAACTGCACAGCACTTTTCTCAATCATGTCATTATTTATTTGCCTACCCCCTATTACCTGACTTAACTACACTGAAAAAAAGTACAATGAGGCCAGACATGACCTCTTTACTCACCATTATATGCCAATGACTAGAACAGTACTGATGTTTCTGGAATTTAGAATAAACAAATGAGCAAATGAATGAATAAATGAATGTATAGGATTCCATTTCCCCAGTTAACTACTGCTCATCCTGTTTGTCCCACTTTAGGGTCCTTTTCTCAGGGAAGCATTCTCTGAATTAGGCCCCTCATTCCACATAATCCTGTACTCTCTTTTTTACATTTTACCATAATATTGAAACTTATTTTCTTTTGTGTTTTGTATTCTGAAGATAGGGTCTTACCACAAAGATCTGGCTAGCCTGGAATTGCTATGTAGGTGAGAACTGCCTCGAACGTACAGTAATTTTCCTGCCTCTGCTTCCCATGTGCTGATACAGGTGTACACTACCATGCCCAGCTTCACAATAATGAAACTTAATGCAATTTTCTATTCCACTTTGCCTTATTTCCTATTGTAAACAACAGCCCTCAAAGTATAGCACCTGGGAAATACTTGATATTCAGTAGCTACCACTGATTAAATATTTTTACAAATATTTTTTCAAATAAACCTAGTCAAAAAAAATTTTCCTTTTTACATTTTATGTACATGACTGTTTTGCCTTCATGTTTGTAAATGAACCTCATGTGTGCAGTGGCAGCAAAGAGGTCAGAAGAGGATGACATATCCCCTGGAACTGGAGTTGCAGATAGTTGATAGCCACCATTTGGACGATAGGAGCTGAACCTGGGTCCTCTGTAAGAACACCAAATACTCTTAACCTTTAAGCCATTTCTCTAGCTCCTCCTCTTTACATTGTTAGAGCTAAGTTTAACCTTTTTAAAGGAATAAGAATAGAAATGAACAACTCCCTGTTCACTACGAAAAAGTTAGTGTAGTGAGCACTACAATATCTGCCCCTGAAAGCATCAGATTCCCTGGAACCGAAATTATAGATGGTTATGAACTAACATGTGGGTGCTGGGAACCAAACCTAGGTCCTCTACAAAGTGTAGCAAGTACTCTTAACCACTGAGCCAACTTCTGAATCCCCCTAATTGAAGCAATTTTTATTGAAACCTAAAAGTATCCAGAAAATAAAGCCTCTCTGAATAGTCATACATTTTAGTCCTGAAAATGTTCGGTAATTAAAATATTATGAGACATGGGAATTTTGTATAACATAGAAGCATTTATAATTACTTGATTATTATACGAAAGTACCCTATGTACTAATAATATATCTAAGCCACATCTCATTGAAGAAACTGTATAAAGCCTTTATGTGCAAGACGAATCATTTTTCCTGATTTCTAAAGTGTGCTTGCTCTCTCTCTCTCTCTCTCTGT